GCAAAATAAAGCAAAAGATGGTTGTCCATTAACTTTCCCTAATTTGTTGCCTTTCTGTTGTGATGAATTATTCATAATCTACAGTATATTACAACTTGGATTATAACTGTAGAATTTTAATGCAATTGAAGAGCATCAGAATGGATAATTTATCTTGTGTTGTTGAATACAAGTAGTACTCATTGACTGCATTGCTTAGCGATGGCAATCCTGGTGGTCCCAGTTGCTGTCATAACCCCGGGTCTATGCAGGTTGTTAATCAGGAAGAAGCAGGAATCCCAAGCAAGCAGGCTGGTGGGTGAGTGTACAGGCGCTACAGGAAGGAGGCTACAGAGTGCAGACAGAGAAAAAAGCAGCAGGAGTAACTTCCTGCCAGCTTCTTCATTGATTTTGTAGGAACTTCAAAAATCATGATCACATGTAATCTGGGGGTCCTCCTGGACTTATTGCTCCTTTTCAAAAGATAGGTGGCATTCATGTTTGGGAGGGATTTTGCACATCTTTAGGTTGTTAACCATCTGCCTGTTCCTGGACCAGGAGACCCTGCTCACTGTCACTTACGCCCTTGGACCTCTTGTCTGGATTACTGCAATTCCCTCTACATGGGGCTGTCCGTTAAGAGCATTCAGAAGCTTCAACTGGTGCAGAATGTGTCAGCATAAGTAGTAAATGGTGCTGGTTACTTGCCTTATATAACACCAATACTCTGAAAGCCAGTGTGCTTTCAGGAGCAGTTCAAGGTGTTGATTGTCATCTTTAATGCCCTTCTTTGCTTAGGTCTAGGTTACTTAAGGGACTGTCTTTCCTCAGTTGTTTCGGTCCGTCCGATCCAATCAACCAGGATCAGCATTATTTTGGCCCCATGAGTCAAATAATGCCAGTTGGTGGGGACTAGAACACATGCTTTTTTTTCTTTTTGATATAAGCCACCTTATGGAACATTCTCCTTCTGGAGATCAGGATGAATCCAACCCTGCTGGTCTTTTATAAAGTCCTAAAGACCTGTCTCTGGGGCCTTGAGTGTGTGCAGGGACCTACTTCTTTACTGTATTGTATTGCCTGCATTTAAATTTTTATAATGGTTTTTATTTTATTTTAATTCTATTTGTCACCCAGCGACGCTCACTGAGATGGATGGCCATATAAATTGGATGGGTGAGTGGGTGGGTGGCTGAGTGGATGGATGGATAGATAATTACCTTAATCTTTCTTAACCAGAAGGCCATATTTCTAAACAATGCTCTACATTGCATTCTTCTCTCCTTCCCTTATCATTTTTATTTTCAAAAAATAGTTCTCAGATTTATGCAGTGCTCGAAAACATTCTTGAAAATTTAGGCTGTGCTTCAGGCTGTCCCTTTTCTGTGCAGTATGACTGTACAAACCATCTGGAGGGATACTCTTAAAGTGATTCTCCAGACCTACTGCTCATAACATTGAGATACCCATGTCATTTGAAGGCTTGTTTTACTTGTTTTAAGCAAATTTCACTCCCCCATTCACTGATGATGTTACCTAGGGTAGTAATGAAACATCTGCAGAAAAACAACCAAGTTCAGAGGACACCAGGAGACTAACCTTTACCATCTTAGCATGCGTGTACACATAGAGAAGGTACTTCCACCAAGTTTCCACCAAATAAAAGCAAAAAATAACTTCAACACTTCGAGCAGTTGAATTTAAGCAGTAGGAAAGTGCTTTATTAAGTTTCCCCTGAGTGGTTTGTGCAGCTCTACTTCCAGAAGAGTAGCTTCCCATTTGTTTTAATTAAAAGAAGCATTAGCAATTAAAATCAGTGAGCAGGAAGCCTGGTGAACAATTAAAGAAATGTCTGAAGTGAGAATAGGGCCTGGATGCATATTTAACATTTAGGATTTTTTTTGTCCTTAGAGGTGAGATTCTTGTACAAAAGAAATGCATGTTTTCCACGTGCTAAAGTATTTTCAGTTGTACATAGAACAATTCCATCATTGTAGGATTCATAAAACCTTTTCAAAATTTGCACTTTTTGCTTGTGTGTTTCTTCCTCCTAGGTTAATATTTCAGATCTTTCAATGTAGCATGTACTTGTGAATGTGGTTTGGGGTGTCTTTCTTCAGTTTTTACCAGAGGCTCTTTTTTGGAAAAAAGGAATTTCTTACAACTGCCAGTATTCCAGAATAACACAAATTTTCATATGTATGTGCGTATGTATGTATAAAATTTGTGTTATTGTGCCAGTGCACTATGCATAAAATACACACATACACACACTCATATACTCTGTATGTGTGCGTATGTGTATTCTCTCTCTCATACACACACACACACACACACACACACAGTATTTGTGTGTTCAATTCATGAATCAGATTTCCTGAAATTATTAAATGTGTGACCATATTATTCTACTTTAAAGATTGCTTTAAGGCAACTGTTTATCTGTGTCAAGTGTTTTGAATGATATCTCCTGGAGCGTTAGTTTGTATGGATTTTTTGACACCTGCTAAAATGTAATTCTGTTTGACTTGCCATAAACATGTATATAGCTACTCATTTGGTCTTTAGTTTCATATGGCTTTTTCTCTTAAGGTCAGAGGTTCAGATACAGTTACTATGATGAGTCCCAAGGAGAGATTTATAGATCAATTGAACACTTAGATAAAATGGTAAGTGTAAATATCTCCTGCACATTTTCTGTCTTGAATCTGATCAAAGCATTATTACCCATTATATCTTTATGCTCTGCATGAACCAATTCATATTATAGTTTTTGTTTGTTTAGGGCTTATTGTGTTGTGTGCACATAACCACTGAGGTTTGTCAGCCATAGTTATGAACCCAGAGGGTCTCATTTATTAGAAGTGTTTTTATGCTGTTTTAAGCAAACAAGTCTAAGCAAAGTACAAAAGCTAACTAGTGGTAATATTAAAAAAGAAAAGAAAAAGCAAATATACATTTTGTATACAAATTCAGTCTCAATAGTAACATTAGAACAATAAGGAGTATCTACATACGTCCCAGGAACATGCTTCATTGATTCCTCAGTTCCTGAATGCCCACTTAAACAGTCAGGTTTTAATGAGCTTTCTCAGTGTTAACAACAAGAATGCTGTCTTGATGCCAGTTTGGCAACCCATAAAGCCAGAAAACAAATAGAGCAGTTTGTTGCTTAACTAATCCTTTGTGTATGTGATTTAGCCAGCTAGCCAGGAATAGGCAAGTAATACTCATTTATTGACAGTATAAGATTTGTTGAAACTGGGAATAAGATGACAGAAATGTAGCTTTAGGAAAGATTAACATGATCACACAGTGAAGGTCTGATTGGACATGAATTACAAAAGTAGTTGGGGACTGAAGGTGGATAATAGGGAATATAAATACACATTAGAGTGCAGATGATTTCAGCAAAGGATTATTTGAATTAAAATAAATAGCACTAATGTTTAGTGTGATAGGCAGTATAACTTTCAGGTACGTGTGTGTGTGTGTGTCTATAAGTATTATACAACCTGTGACCCCCTTGGATGATCATTTCAGAGGTATTTCCTTACCAGATTCCTCAATGTCTTCAACAATGACAGAGCTTCTAACGTTCTGCCTTAAAAATTCAGGGAGATATTCAGAGATTTATCTATTTTGAAAATAGCCCATGTTGAACTGGGCTATTTGAACATAGTTGAACATAGTAAAATATCAGCAGTTGATCATAGAAAATATTTTATACTATTTTGTATTATGAAATAAATGGATTTATTATTACTTTTATGTCATAAAATGTGTTATAAAGTTTGCCAAATTTCAATTCCATGAGAGTCACGGTTCCTAGATTTCGGATCATTTTGTAAGTTAGGCCAATTAAGGTATCTCAGTGCAAAAAGTTTTGCCCTATGATACGCTGTTTTGCCCAATAGCCTTTGTTACAAATATAAGAATTTTAGTAATATATAGATATATGTAATATGTATCTCTCTCACTCTCACCATACACAATGAGAGATAGAGAGAGAGACTACTCATAGATTAAATGTTTTCTTCTGACCATTTTTGAACAATTATGGTTGCACCTGGTGTGGGGGTTACCAAGAGAATTATTTTGAGAAATTGGAAAAGCAGTATTATTGCAGATATTAAGGATTGGATTTTGAAAATGTATTTTTGAAAAGCATTTCTCCTCTAAGAAAATGAAGCAATATGTTTGTCTTTGGCATAGTACCATGTTATTATATTCTATTTAATAATAATAGAGCACTATAAGGTACTTTTCATAAACACCATTCTTCAGCAGTGTGGGCTCAGTTACTGTCCTGGACCCCATGCCTGGAAAAACAACTAAGTATTTTAAGGTTTTTCAAAAGGTGAGCAGAGTCAGGGTCAGCCAGGCCTTGGACCTTAGTGTTCCAAAGGGCAGGCACAGCTACAGAAAGGCATGCTTCCTGGGTCCCACTAAATGACAATCTTTAATTGACCAGAGTTGAAGCCTGCTCCTTGTGCCTGATCTAATGGGGCAAGTAGAAACAATATAAATCAGGCATTAGGCCCTGTGCCATGTTGGGCTTTATAGTTAATAACTGGCACCAGAATTGCTCCCAGAGGCAAATTTGGAGTCAGTGAAATTCATGGATCCAAGGTGTAAAATAGATAAGACATACCCATAATTGCTCATGCTACTGCATTCTGGACCCATTGAAGTTTCTGAATGTTTTTCAAAGGCAGCGTCATGTAAAGCCCATTGTATAGTCCACTCAAGAGATAACTAAACTCTGATGACCGGGCACAGTATCTCCTGATCCAGGAAGGAGGACAATTGGTGCACAATATGAAGCTGTGCAAAGCCCCCCTGCACCACAACTACCAATTGTTCTTTGAAAAGATGCTGTGAGTCCAGAAGAGCCCCCAAATTAACATTACTTCTGTCTCGGATAGTACAGTCCCAATCAGAACTAAGGATGAGAAATAGCCAGATCCAGAAGCCCTAAATAGCAAAAGCCATTCCATTTTGCTAGGGTTGAACTAAAGTTGCTTCATCCCCATCCAGACTCCTCATACCTCCAGGTATTAAAATGGAACCTCCCCAGCTTCCCTTGGCTGACTGGGATGTAAATGAGTATTACTGCATATTGATGATATCTCATCCCATGCCATTAAATAACCTCACTAGAGGTTTCATGTAGATGTTGAACAATAGTGGGGAAAGAATTGAGCCATGAGCCACCCCACACAATAGACCTTCCCTCATCAATAAGAATGAAAGGAAAGGGGAACCAGCTTAACACTGTGCCCCTAATTACTGTGCCCTGGAACCGCTTCAGAAGAATTCCATGGTTGATGGCACTGAAGGTTGCTGAGAAATCAAGGAGAGGAAGGATGGACGCGCTACTTCCACCCCAGTCTTTCTGTAGGCTATCCACAAGTGTGACCAATGTCATTTCAGTCCTATACCCGATCTGACTCTTGGCACTAAGGTTGCCAGAAGAAGTGTGCTTTTGCCTTTCTATTCTCCTCTTAAGCACTGGTAAAATGGCTGGATCTTCAGTGTTATTCAGCAGAACCTAAAGATTTCAGCCCATATCCTTTCCTACAAAGGATATTTTTATAATTTATAATTTTTATAATTTGCATTATTTGACGTTGAGACACTTGGATGAAATCAGCTGTTCTTGTCCTAGGCCTTGTCACTTTATCGTTGGGTGCTGACTCTGAGGTTGAAAATAAAATATAGAAGAAAAAAATTAATAGAACCTGTAAGAAAAAGAAAAGAATTATTGGTTTTGTTTATGACTCACACTTAAACACCCAATGTCACTCTTTACTACTAGTTTTTAAAAGTATAGTCAGTATAATCTATAAATGCTTTTTCCACAGATATAAACCATTGGGGTCCTTGGTGCTCTCTGAGCTTGGTTGCTTTCTTGCAGACATTTCATTGCCAGTCTAGATAACATCATCAGCATCATCAATGCTAGTAGGGAGTAGGGCTTGTTCTCATTTTATCTACTAGTGGCTTACCCTGTCAGTATTGGTGGGAATGGTTAATAGCCCAATGAAGGAACCACCAAGACCACTTCTGTAAGAAAACAACCAAGCTCGGAGAGCTTCAAGGACCCCACTGTTCAACCCTGAGCTACAAATATTCTCTTCTATCAATGTATGTTATTATATTCATAGTATGCCATGATTTAGTTTTATCTATCAACCATAGAGCTAGTTTTTCTTTTTATTAAATAATATATTTTTATATTTGAGGCATTAAAAAATTAATGTTAACTTTATAATTCTTCCTAGGGTATGAACATTATAGAACAGCTTGACCCTGTGTCCTTTAGCAATTACTTGAAGAAATACCACAATACAATATGTGGAAGACATCCTATTGGTGTTTTACTAAACGTGAGTACTGTTGTTAAATGAAATATGGAGTTAACATTTTCAAGTTATAAATATATCAAAACTGTTCCTGCCATCAAGAGTATTGCGTTCTGATTGCTTTTGCCTAATTGATAAGATTTGGCAGGGTTGGCATACTCCAGATCCATCAAGAAAGCCCTGTTACTGTGTAGGACACTAGATACCCATCTTCCATGTGGCTGTCCCTGGTCTTTGGAATAGTAGTAAGTCCATCTGTCCCTGATTGGGCTTTTTCAACAGAGATGGGACAGGGTGATTTGTCATCTCATTGATATATGCCTTGTAGTGTTGTTTCCCATTGTCAGCAGTTATATTGGCCATATTGGCTAATTGTTAGTCAAGTTAAATACTCTTTTTTTTACCTTACCTAGAGACACTTCAGTGATTGAGGCAGCTAACTGATTAAATAATAAACTAATTTAGGGAGTTCAGGAGGGAGAATCTGCAAGATAGAACTGACAGAGATTCTGAATTTTTAAAATATCCCTTTCATTAGTGAAAGTCCCACCAACTAATTTTTTCAGTTGTCATTTCATCTAGCTATATGGGATAGGAGAGCATATCCCTTGGGGTACTTGCAAGAAAAAGTTGATAGAACCAGTAGAATTGCACCCTCCCTATTTGCCAGTGCATGGAGGACCAGTTGGTTATCCATCCAAAACTGCCCCATCTCCCTGTGAAAAAGGGATGAAACTTTTCCTTTGCTATCTCTAAATATATTCTTGGATTGTGTGTGGGTGATATGTACGCATGCTGAATTTTCTGCATAGAGCAAACAAACATACAGGCATTCAGAAAAAAAGCCCTTTGTGTTAAGTTCCTCAGAACTCAGGAAGATTCACCATTAGTAGAAATATAGGACTATGTGCCTTCCTATATGAGTCAGGAGTAAACAAAATGATACATTCCCAAACACGTCCTTTGTTGTCCCACTTGACTTTAAAAAAATATTGTTTTAATAAAAACAAATACAGTGGAAGATGGCATGCTGCAAAGTGAACATAATCTTTATTAGCAGGATTGCCTGTGGGCCCCATTGAGGTCCAGTTGAGATTAAAAAGCACTCTGGGTTAATTTGCCTTCTGACAATCAGTAGTGTTTTTAACGTGTTTCGAATTAAATTTGTGCATCCATCTGCCTCAGTTTTCCATATGAAAGGTTATTTCACCAACCATGAGAAAAGTTGTTCAAAGTTCTTGATTTGGGAAAAAAAAAGTATTATGAATGTGTAAGAAGTGTCATACAGTAAATGATCTGAGTAGTCATCTTATAAAACTTTCTTTTTATTCCATCTAGGCTATCACAGAGCTCCAGAAGAATGGAATGAACATGAGCTTTTCATTTTTGAATTACGCTCAGTCAAGCCAGTGTCGAAACTGGCAAGATAGCTCAGTGAGTTATGCAGCAGGAGCATTAATGGTCCACTGAACCTCTGACTACTCAGGGATGACACCTGCACACTCAATGGGGTCCCAGCCTTGCCCTTGCAAAGATGCAGTTCCTGATCTTTGGGTATACTGAAACCTCAAACTAATAGAACTCTTCTTTTTTTCTAGTAGGTGTAGTCCTTCCTTAGTTACAACTCATTTTAAAAATGCTTTCTTGTTTAGGACAAGGGAGGAAGGCTGGTGTCAAAATGTTGTGACTTCTAAAAACCAGTGGCTATAAAGGTATGGTGACAGACGGTCCTTGCAAAATACAACATGTAAAGCATTTACCACATCCCAGATTTGCACTCTGCAGACCTGTGCACATACTCTGCTTTCAGAATAGTTTTGCAAGTTTAAACAGAAAAGGATGGAAGCTTTTTAATAAAAAAAAATGCATTTATAAAAGATCCTGTATTAGAATATAATAAAACTCCAGTATAGTCAATTACTACCCGTGTTGTACAACAAATATCTTCTATTTTAGTTGCTAATAAAGGGCTGCACAACCAAAATGGCTACATGTGATTTTTTTTGCATTAAGCTAAACAAAATTGACTGTGTCAGGGGTCTCCAACCCCTGGCCCGTGGACCAGTACTGGGCCGCGGCATGCCAGCAACCGGTCCGCACAAACAGGCAAAGCCCCATCTGTGAGATGCAGGTAGCACACAAAACCACACACCCTCTGGTCCGTGGAAAAACTTCTCTCCACGGAACCGGTCCCTGGTGCCCAAAAGGTTGGGGACCTCTGGACTATGTCTTCATCAAGAGCAACTTGGTGGTGTCCTGATATTTTGGCTTTCACTGGCCTTTGCAACTCTCATTAGAGAGCATGGATCAGGCATAGACTCAATCTGCATGGATTGACAATATTTTCCTCCCACAAGTTGATTCATAGGATTGCAACGTTCTGAGTTTGCTGTGGCTTTAAAGATTTTAAAGCATAACTAAGCTCTCGTGTCTTCATTTAGAGAACCCTCTCTCCACTTCTTTCAAAGTTCCTAACATACAGGTTGTTTCTAGCAACAAGATAAAAAAAACTGTATGAAAGGGAGAAACTGCCTTTAGAAGAGCAGAGTAAATCACATGCACATAAGTTGCACAAACTGGGTGGAGTGCTTATGGAGTGATCGTTGATGCTCATTGGGGAGAATTCTAGCCTGATCTGTTACAGCTGATAGACTTGCTTTGCCAGCATATAAGCACATTATGTTATAAGCAATTCTCAAAAAGGTTAATCTGATGTTTCACTAGATTATAACTGGCCAGACCTGTTTTGCAGGTATGTTGGACTACAACCCCCACAATTCCCAATCAGCAAGGTTGATGATTTGAGGAGTTCTAACCCAGGGCATCCAGAGGATATTGCAGAGGGGGAGGCTGCTCAAGAATCCTGGATAAGGTCTATTAACATGCCTTTCTCTTAAGATCATTTTGTTTGAAACTGACAATTAGTTCCTACAATTAGTATTTGGGATGGTAGTATGTTTTTACCAATTGTGTACAATAGAGGGAGCTGTTACCTTTGTGCTTGAAAAGAATGAGCAAGCAAATAACAGCTGACAAATTTTTCAAAGAACAAGTATTCTTCCCCCTCCCCTTCTGAACATATTGCTTGTATTGTGGGTTTGTGTGGGAGAGAGGATGTGAACTGTGTACTCCCTTCCATTCCAAAGGCAATTAATGGCAAGGAGAACATTCATTATGCTTCCTGCTCCTTGTTAATAATCTACTGCTACAAATGTGTATCTTCAGCATTGACTTTAGGTAGTGTCAACTGACAGCTTTGCTTACTCATTGTTCTTCTAAAAGATATGGTATTCAGACAACCATCTGATCGCACCTTAGGATTTTTATCTACTTC